CGCCACCGCCACCGCCACCGCCACCGCCACGCTCTCCTCCCCGCTTAACCGCTTCCTCCCACGCCCGGGGGGCCGCCAGGACCATCGCGGCGAGTCGCGCCACCACACCGGACCATTCCTTAACCGAGCCCCTTCCCCGCTAGGTTAGCCCCACCACCACCGCCATCACCACCACCACCACCACCACCACCGCCATCACCGTTCGCTCCCGGCATACCTGTGTCGAACAGGTATGCCTTTAGCTTATTATTACCTGCTCGTCCCCCCACGCGTCTCTCGCCCCTTTAGACAGACGGGGATGCGAAACTCCGGCCGTCGGGCCCCCCCCCCACAACCGCCCCCGCGCAATTAAGACAATATGACCCCTCTCCCCCCGCCTCCTCCTCCTTGTCAATCACCCCGGCTCACTATCACAAAGACCGGGCAACGTGCTGCAGTCACTTTTTTTCGCCGCGTATTTTTCTTTTTCCAGCTCATCTCTTCTTCGTCGCGCTTTTCTTCCGGCACATTTCACGATTTACGACAACCCTCGTGTCACCGAGTTACCCGCGCCGTCGCTCACCAGATGCTTTTCGCGCTTTTTCTTCCTCGACCCATCCCTTACTGCGCAATATTTATGTGCGCTTTATTGCGCTTTATTGCGCTTTCACTCGACTCGGCTCTACTCGCACGCAAGTTAGGACGAGTCTTACTCTCGTCCTTGTTCCACGTAAAGTATGCTGGGCCTCTGCCTCCGCGCAAATCAACCAAGGCGCCGAGTACCCAAAGTCTTTATAAATTCCGGACAAGTTTTCGCTACGCGCTCTCTCAGCAAAACACGTCAATATTAATCCAATGATGCGCTTATGGTACGATCATGTTACATTATGAGCCACGCTCTTCTTATCATTCAACTGACATTATCGGCAATTATGTATTGCTGCACTGAGTAGAATCGACATCCGACTTTACGTTACGTTTCAACTCTGATCTGGGAATAGCATATGGATGGCATGAAAATATCCAACTCAAAAGCTAAACATAAACGTGTTTATTAACGATAATCATTAACTAGAAACAAATCAATGATTTTCATCAGCGGAATCTCAAATTTATCGATACTCGGGTATAAAAATGCGAGATCAGAAAGCCACGAAAGAAACGGTCTGCTGATGCAGGATGGACGAGAAGGTAATCGGACTCCTTTTCCACGCAACTCAATCGGTTGCCGACGACCGCAATTCGCACTTTATCAATAATTCGACGCTCCCCCCCCCCCTCACCACCACCAATCGCCCGATCCATCTCTCGACTACCCGACTATAATATTCATGCACGACGTTTCGCTGAACTGGCATGTTACGAAAATGACGGGCCACACACGAATTTTATCACCATGGGTCGTAGTATAAAATGTTAATGGAGTCCTCGGAAGGGCCGATGACAAACTTAATACGAATACTCCGACCCTTACTTTTGATAATTGGTACGCGTGGGTAAGATCGGAAACTGAGACGAGCGGATGCTTAAGGTAACCGAGGCTGCGAACGTTATTGCGCAATTATCCTTGCAATTAACGTGCACTCGTTTAGCTATCGCCCCTCTCGGCCTATTCCCCATCATTATCCGATGGAGTAGCGCGGGAGACGCGCGTAAGCACCACTGAATTGCAAATCGTGGGGGCGGTGGACCTTCTCGACCTACTCCTACTCCTACTCCTACTCTCCCCTCCCCCCCTTCTGAACCAGACGTCAATGCGGGGCGAAAAAAGTGTCGCGTGCCTCGTTTAAATCGATATCTCGTTCCACGACTAATGTTAATCTCGCTAATCCGCGCACTTTTACTAACCCGAGGAGTGAGACGTCGTCAACGCCGTCGTCGGTCGCCAATCTCGTCCTCATTATCACAATGAATAATCGCCTATTAAGCAATAATCAACCTTCCCAGATTCCTCTTACGGACTTTTCTCAACCATAATATTCGAGCGTCGGCTCGCCCCGCGGGAAACGACAGTTTGCTGCTCGATCACCAATCTCGAATCTTGATAACGCGCAAAAGTGCTTTTACCATTTCCCGGCTCGTGGGAAGAAATGTGGAGGCCAGATGGTGCACACGCCCGTCTAGCTGCGAAAATTTCCATGACCCGAAATTTTAAGGGGCTCGGCCGTCAATAGGGCCGATTTACGATTGTTGTGAGAAGCAATGGACGCGCGAAGAAAATATCATCTACCCCATCACGTACGCTCATGCATTAGTTGGCCGTGTATGTGTTGTGAGAGCGTGTGGGAAATGTTGCTTCGAAGGAGCGCACGTGGAAAGGCGCACGTGGAATGGCAAAAAGGTTGCACGGCGTGGGTGAAATTCGGCAAACGGATAGCCAGACAGGCTAAACGTATGTTCTCGTCGCACCCTCCACCGCACCTAAGCGCGCAAAATTTCTGCCTCTCCTCCTGTCCTCTTCTTCTACCGTTAAATGAGCGTCCGTCCGAGCGTTTAATCGGCAGGCCATTGTCGTTGGCATTAATCCATTTGAATGTTAATAATTTTTTTGCCCAATGAAAGCCGTTGCATAAATGTGGGATAAAGTTGTGGTTGCAGTGGCTTTATCGAAAAGGAAAAGCAACGATCTAGGAGATACGATTCAATAATGCTCATCGATAAAAGTTATCGCCGAGAGGTAATCGCTCAAATCGCCGCTGCGTCAATAAAGTTTGCGGAGCCAAAGGAAGGAGATAGCTCGAGATCAGCTATCCACGCAAACTCGAAGGAGAGTTACAATTGTAGAAAAATATCTCTCTTTCTCTTTTCTCTCTCACTCTGTCTCTGTCTCTGTCTCTGTCTCTCTCTATCTATCTATCTATCTATCCCAACCCCTTCTATAACAAGATCACTTTCACTTTGGGAGGCTATCGGGCTCAGGTCGAAGATAGTATTCGCATCGCGATAAGACAGCCGGCGGATACTTTTTCCCTTGTCGCGGCCGTTAAGCTGGTGGGAGAGGGGTAGGAAGGTAGAGAGGGAATATCACTCGCGAAAATCCCTTTCGCCGAGAGCCGAGGACGACGACGTTACTCGACACGCGAACACGAGTCATCCGTTTTTAAATGGACGCGTGCGATCTCGTTGCCGCTCCCGGTCTCTGGAGTGGCAGCGTCGTCGTCGTCGTCGTCGTCGTCGTCGTCGTCGTCGTCGTCGTCGTCGTCGCGCGTACTTATCACGACTGTACACGCACGCTCGCTCTAGCGATAACAAATCCTATCGAATTTCCTTACAAAGCCTCGTCCCAATAATCCAATGGTAATAATGCACCTGAGAGAACAGTCGCCCTTCCCAGCCTCTTCCCAGCCTCTTCCCAGCTTCTTCTCAGCTTCTTCTCAGCTTCTTACCCGTCTCCTTCTGCTCTTACGTGCGGCTTGGGAGCGTAATTTGCCTTTGCGCGCTGCTCTTGCCGTTTATCCGGTACATTGTGCGTGCCTTTGTAATTAACGATTAGTCCCTCTTATAATTACCCGTAAGGATCATAACGGTTTTCACGTTGAGGTTTGTAGCGCGAGAGCGAACCGTTAAACATCCAATCTAGCGCCTTCCTCCTGATTTATTTATTTATTTATTATTATTTTTTGTTTTGGTTTTGTTTATGTTTTTTTTTGTTTTTGTTCTTAATCACCTTATCGTTTATTAATAAATGAAATATCCTTTAACGGATCTAACGGCCGCGTTAGTTTTAATCACCTTGTGCTTAATTAAGCTTTTTCTAACGGGCTACCTTACGAGTAGGTTTTGTGAATGGCAATAAGAACGAACCGCGGACGTAACTCTTACGCTTCGACTTACAACCAATAGTTCGAATTACTATAAAATTGACATAATTAACGCGGCATGAAATGGGAAAATATGATGGGCCGCGAGCAAGACTCGAGTCCCGATGCAATCGTGGCGGTTAAACAATAATCATAGCCATCCGTTAATAATTAACGCCGTGGACAATCTGATAAAGTCCTCGCGTAAGACCTACATATCGGCCGACTACGTGCGCCGGCTAAGTCCTCCCGGTACAATTCACTCATTAATTACAGGCGAATTAGCGGTTTTATGATAAAACGAGAGTCATTTATTTTTCGAAACGATTGCAAGCTTTGCGCAACGTATATCAATTTGCTTTGATTAACCGTAGGCTTCCCCCCCCCCTCCTCCCCCCCCCCCCTTACCCCCTCCCATTGCCCCTTACCCTCCCCACAATCCCCACGAGCACCACCAGCATCACCAGCACCACCAGCATCCGCGTTCGTAATGAGTCCGATAATACAGTTTGCCACGGATCC